TCTTGCATGTAACTGGAGAGAAGGTCTTTAAGTTGTTCATCCAATCGGAGTACTCCCCAATGGTGTTTGATGATCTTTTCTACATCTTTATACTGTATATTATAATCCATTACTATCATCTTTTTTAGATGCCTTAAATGGCCCTCCCTTAGGCCTGATTCACACCTGGGCTTTTTGTAGCGCGTTCGAACGCTCTGCAAAACGCTCAAACACCGAAATCCCATTATTTTCTATGGGTATGGTTCACACCTGGGCGTATTACAGGCCGTATGAACGCGCTACAGAACGTCCTACGCCCAAAGAAGTACAGGAGCTTCTTTGGGGCATTTTTGTCGCACGTTTCCATTGGGATACAGCCAAGTAGCCCTCGGAAACGTGCGTCACGAAACGCGCAACAAACGCGCATATTCAATACGCCTAGGTGTGAACCCAGCCTTAAGGAGGACTAGTCTGTCTAATTTAGTCACTTTCTCCATCTCCATACTGATAAATTCTTCTTTGTACCCTTTTTGACAAAACCTACTTTTCAACATTTCAGATTGTTGTCTGTAGTGTGTGTCATTAGAACAGTTTCTCCACATCTGCATGAACGGTCCTCTGGGAATAATGTACAACCATGATGTAGGATTGTGGCAACTACAAGTGGGTATTTACCCATTTCTGTATGTATCTTTGAAGAAAGATTTGACCTTCAGATGTTCATTTTCTACAAAGACTTCAATGTCATGGAAATGAATGGATGTTTGTTCTATCTGATAAGTGAGAGTTATGTTTTTAGTTTTATTTAATTTAGCCACAAATTCCTCTAATCTGTCCTTCCTACCTCTCCAGACCATAAAAATATAATTAATAAATCTTTTTATAAAAAAATTATTCTTCTGCTTTGTCATTTAGTATTGTTTAATTTTCCTACTTCCACATGAAGGCATTTGCCACACTAGGGGCAAATTTGACCCCCACGGCAACTACAGTCTTCTGTTTGTAAAAACCATCCATCATACCAGAAGTAGTTCTTTCCTAGTCCAAATTGTAGGGCCTCCAATATGAACTCTTTTTGCTAAATAACTGTTGGTGTCAAAAAGCAAACCTTCAATAATCTGTAGGAATTGTTTAGTGTCCCGCATATACGTATCTGTTTGCTGTATTAATGGCTGAAGAAAAAAAAAATCTACAAGTTCCCCTAATCTGTTTGTGGCAGAGTCTATGCTACTGACTATGGGTCTCCCTGGGGCTGTTTGATTTTTGTGTATTTTGGGAAGATAATATATCACCGGAAATCTACATGCAGTGGGGACTAGAAATTGACCTTCTTTTCTATCCACAATACCTGCTGATTTCCTTTTTTTCACCAATCCTAATTCTTTTTTGCAAGTTAGGATGGGGTCCCTTAACAATGGATCATAAGTTTCTGCATCTGTTAAGAGCCAGTTAATTTCTTTCTTATAGTCCTCTTTATTTAAAAACACAATATCTCCCCCTTATCTGCCGGCCTGATCACAATATTATTTTCTGTCTCCAAATCCTTTATACCTTTTTTTTTTTATATAATGGGGGTTTCCTTCTTTCTTCAGTTTCAAAAACTCTACATCCTTTAAAACCACATTTTTAAAAACCTCAATATTTATTGTGAACAGGGGGTTTGAACGTGGATTTATTTTTTAGTGTAGTGCGAATATACCTATTGTTTTCACCGTCCTCTACCTGTTGACAGGGATTAGATGCATAATATTTTTTTCAAATTTACCTTCAGAACAAACTTGTGTATTGAAATATACGCATCAAACTTGTTTAGAGCCTTATTGGGAGCATATTTTAAACGTTGGTCCAAAACTTGTAACTCTTCCTTCGTTAGGGTGGTGGAGCCCTGTCCCTGCCACCGCCGCATGGCACATGGCGGAACACAACTTTTTCCAGCTGGCCACATCAGTATGTCATACATTGGTGGCTTTTACCATTCTGCTATAAGCTCATGGTCGCTTTAGCTGACAAGCGGCTGATGAGAGCCATTAACAAAAAATCTGGGCTTCCCCACCGCCGCCATCTGCAGCCTCTCCTCCCTGCCTGGAGCCGCTCCAGGCTGCGATCTGTTTCTCCTCGGATCCCCATTGCTCTCCACCACCTGTATGGGCTGAGGCAGCAGGGATCCAAGGAGAAATGGCATTTTTAGGATGGCCGAGCGGTGAGCAGAGCAATGCTGCCGTCTGTCAAATCCTGGATCGCCCAGCGGCTCTGTCATCTGTGCGTGCGAAGCGGGTTGGATGGCTGAGCGGGATATATCTGTGCAGAGGAAACACTGGAGTGATCAGGTAGGTCAATAGTGCTATGTGTCCCCATTTATGAATGAACAAGAAGTGCTTTACATCACCTTCCTGTTA